GGGACTATATTTGTAGACAACGAAAACCAAAGGACGATAACTGTGTCCTTGGACCTAATAGGATAGAAAGACTTGTCCAATTTTATTAAAACTTTGCATGACCTAAGCTTAGGCAATTATAAGATAGTTGGCCAAGTTTCATGGCCATAGGATATATATTATAGAAACTAGGGCCATTTTAATATTGAAATTTGGATGTTTATTTTTGATGTTTAAATCAAATATTTTCAACTGTCAAGATTTTGGCCTAAAAAATTTAAATACTGCAAAAATTTGCTTTTTAAATACTCTTGAATTTAATATAATAAGTATTAAAAGCAACGGAACACTCATTTGATTTATCAGATTTATTACAGTTATTCAAAAGTCAAATTTATATGAGCCATGCCTGAAAATAGAGATTTTCGAATTAAGGGAAGCCTTACATAAACATGCATTTTTTTCAACCAATTTGAAGTTTTTGAAGTTTTTTAACCATACATTATTCTTCCATATATATTAAATGTACTTTAAATGTAAAGAAAAGTTACAAAAAGCATACCACATGAGTATAAAATGGTCTAAGGCCATGTAAGACTGAGAATTATTTAGAGACGATTTAGGCCGTAGCCCATATTTACATATAAAAATGCACACAGAGGCTATAAGAAATTGAAATTTGTTACTTTTTGCTCATTTCTATGCTAAGATGTCATGATACAAGAAGTCTAATTGCAAAAGGACTCTTGAATTTAAATTTTTTTGGCAGACAGTATGGTCTGATGACCAGTTTTTCACTTTTCAATGGAAAACTTGCATGTAGTTTTAGTCTCATTTGGCATATATTTGAACCACTTACTATCCTAAAGAAGAAAATTATGGTAGCATATGAAATGAATAGGGTGAACTGATCATTGTAAAGTGCTTTTTTTACAGATTTAGTGAAATATTTGTGATGGACTACAGATTTTATGTACAAAGCTCTTCACATTTCACATACATCAAACAGGCCGTTTAACCAGGGACATAAATACAAATATTCTGCACATTTTTTCTGTGATAATCTACTTTTTTCTAGATTTCGAGTTCACAAATGGTTAATTAAATTTGATTTAAGCATAGAAACACAAATATCAGGAACATAAAAAGCTGTCAGATAGAAAGTCAGCATGGCTCTTATGCATAAAATGGAAACTGCTTTAAAATGCTTATTTTAGCCGTATAATGCCAAAATGGGACATTTTAACAGAATTTCTGTCAAACAAAGATGTAAATCCTTTACTTTTATTGAATTTGACAAATTGAAACCAGCAAACCATTCAGGAAAGTTGCCAAAGTACAGAATCTACATTTACGGAATTCATCTCTTAGGCCCGAGAACACAGTTATTTCGTAGTGCATTTCTTTTAGACAATAAATTCAAATTAAAAAAATCGCACCTGCTCTATCTCAAAAAGATTTTTACAGTGTAGTGTGCTACTATTGATACAAATAATATCAAAATTATAGAAACTTCTACCAGCTCTAACTTAAAATATTGACAGTTCTGTGTTAAGGGGGGCTAAAATTCAGTTTGACAGCTTCAGACATTCTAATTTTTGACCTTTTTTAACTGGACCAAATCACTACTTAACATAAAGATTCAGCACCCAAATTTTTTTAACATGTAATTTCATCCCCTTACTTAATATTTCATGCATAAAATATCAAGAAATAAATTGGGAAAGTGTTTAAAAAAAAAATGCAAGTTATACACTGTTCACACTAGGGACTATATTTGTAGACAACGAAAACCAAAGGACGATAACTGTGTCCTTGGACCATTTTCGAAAGTGTCAAAGACATTGATGATATAAACCTATAATTAAAATTTCATAAAAATCTGTGAAGAATTGTACACATTAGAGCCCTCATAGGGCAATTTTCAATAATATTTAATATTTCCAAGGGGCATAACTCTTTCATAAATTATTGATCGTCACTGATTTTCGGAATTGTCAAAGACATTCCTAATATAAACCTATGATTTAAGTTTCATAAAATTCTGGCAAGAATTGTACACATGAGAGCGCTTACAATGCAATTTTCCATATATTTAATGTTTCCAAGGGGCATAACTCTTTCATAAATTATTGATCGGCACTGATTTTCGAACTCGTCAAAGACATTGTTGATATAAACCTATGATACAAGTTTCATAAAAATCTGGCAAGAATTGCACTTATGAGAGCACTAGCAATGCAATTTCCATAGAATCAATATCTCCAAGGGGCATAACTGTTTTTAAAAAAATTGATCTGCAATGATTTTCGAAAGTGTAAAAGACACTAATGATATAAACCTATAATATAAATTTCATTTAAATCTGGCAAAAATTGTACACATTAGAGCGCTCACAAGGCAGTTTTCAGATAATTAATATTTCCAAGGGGCATAACTCTTTTAAAAATAATTGATCAGCACTGATTTTCGATCTCAACAAAGACATTACTTATATAAACCTGATATAAGTTTCATAAAATTCTGGGAAGAAGTGTACACACGAGAGCGCTAACAAATGCAATTTTTCATATAATTAATGTTTCCAAGGGATATAACTCTTCTAAAAATAATCGATCGGCACTGATTTTCGAACTCGTCCAAGACATTGCTAATATTAACCTATGATATAAATTTCATAAAAATCTGGCAAGAATTGTACAAATGAGAGCGCTAACAATGTAATTTTTCATATAATTAATATTTCCAAGGAGCAAAACTCTTTTAAAAATATATGATCGGCACTGATTTTCGAACTTGTCCAAGACATTACTGATATAAACCTATGATATAAGTTTTATAAAAATCTGGCAAGAATTGTACAAATGAGAGCGCTAACAATGCAATTTTCCATATAATTAATGTTTCCATTGTTTTAATAATATACTGGTATTTATTTTTTTCAATTATATATATACAAGTCTAAATTGAAAACAACGTTCAAACCTATGATTGCGTTGGATAAAAACCGCAATTTTTATACGTGTGCATGCAAAACAAATTTCTTGTTAGAGGGGTCTAAATACAGCACAAACAACATTTTCCAAAAGACCAAAAAAGTGAAAAAGTATATTTTAACAAAACGCATTTGACTAACAGGTCGAACAACAAATGTTCTTAAACCCTGCTGACTGCCACTGGCGATTGCCAAATAAACGGATCACCGATGTAATAAATGGCTCTTAATTAAAAATTTAAAACTAAACAGAAAACAATAAACTTGCGGAAAAGATGATATACCGCAAACAAAAGGTGCAAAGGTTTTTGTACACCATATCCGGATTTCGACAATTAATGTCTCTTCAGTGATGTTAGGAATCGAAACGGTATTTGGAAAGCCATACAATTTACCTCAATTTAGGATAGACTCTTGAATTTTTAGGAGTCAAAATAGGATGAACGGATCATATAAACCCGAAGGCAAATATAATACAAGCCCAAACGAAAAAATATAAACAAGTCTTAATTGAAAACAACGTTCAAACCTATGATTGCGTTGGATAAAAACCGCAATTTTTATACGTGTGCATGCAAAACAAATTTCTTGTTAGAGGGGTCTAAATACAGCACAAACAACATTTTCCAAAAGACCAAAAAAGTGAAAAAGTATATTTTAACAAAACGCATTTGACTAATATATCTAAATAGGCGATTAAGGGTGTAGGTAGGGGTGATTTCTCATTCAATGACAGAAGTGTTTTTCTTTTTCTCGTCAGGGAAGGAGGAATCACTAAAAACCAGTATGTCTTTGGAAATTTATTTGGAAAAATTGACGCAACTTGCCGTTATGGAAAAGGAAAAACTACAATCAATCCTTACTTAAGGATTCTTTATTTGCTACATCAATCGTTGGAGACGTCCTTACATTGGTAGAATTTAACTAGCACATGTCTTGTTTTATGTTTCTAAATATACTTTTTTTATAAGTATATCACAGACGACACAAAGGTGAACAACCAGATGAAATTTCTAAACAATTTTATGATACCTATCAATTAATAATGTACATTTCATTAGGAACTATCATTTGCTTTTTTCTCTCTCACATTTTCCTATTACATGTACCTTCTGTTATGTGTTTTTTTTTCTCTCTACATATAAATACATTTTGTACTTTATTGTAACACAGTCAACCATGTTCGTCAAAGTTTCATATAATTACTCGCCAAAACGTAATACTAAAAATAAATGAAAGTATATATACATAATATTTATGGACAAAAATGGCTTTATTCTATATACATGTATAATCAATGTTCACGTTAAGCATGTTCGTACACTAGTAAATAAATGTTTACAATGTCCTCATTTTGTGCGGAATTGCTTCCCATGAATATGAGATATTTACCCAGCAATTAGAGGTTGAACTAGGAAAGTAATTCTTACGTTCAGTCGGTAAGAGCGCTAACTTATAAAACAAATGTCCCGGGTTCAATTCTCGGAGGAGACAATGTGAGAATCGTACTCGCCGGTTGCTAGCTGGTTGCGCCCAACTAAAAAACAACGATGTTTAGAGAGGATATCTAGCCAGGGTATGTGTTGTGAGAATCATAATGGTATGATGATTGTTTGGGTGGGAAAAGTGTGACAAGATTGCTTCCCTTGAAAAGGAAATACTTCGCCAGCTGTGAGCAACTGAGTTATGGAATGACTTCTTTGATTTGTAACACAAAAGTCACGGGTTCGAAGTCCCGGAGGAGACAATGTGATTTTCAATAACAATTGTGCTCTCCGTTTACAATCATATAAGTTAAAGCACCAAAAAGTTTCGTATAATCAGGTAAAAATGCCTCCAAATAGATATATGTCAATTTCAAAAAACAAAATTACATACAGGTCAAATGTCGTCAACCATTATATTTTTTATATTATACCTTATCAGGTACTTTGGTGCAGATAAAATTAAGAATAAAATTATCAAAAAGTTTCAGGTGGTCTTAAGATAACAATTTATAATATCGAAACAATATACTAGTATTCACCTTGAAATATTTTTTGAACTTCTTTTCAATAGTTCCATCTTCACTATTCACCGATCTTTCATCGAACAGGATTTTCATCTGAGACGCCTCAGCATCCTCAGCGTTCTGTATGATTTCCTAAAAACGAACAAAATTCGATGATATTGAAATAAAACAAAACTGTTCATTACTTGGTCATGCAAAAAGTGGAAATACTTAAGAAATTTTTTTGCAATTGATGCAGTAATATGTCTCATTTGGTTTAATGATTGTGCGACTTTAACGGAAATTTGCAAATTGACTTTGAACGGTTCAAGGAACTAAGAACATGATTTTCTAAAAGGTTGGATTGTTAAAAAAAACTGTTATACCATATAGCACTGCTTTGTTTCTTACAGAGACCCTGTATAACTACACAGGTTTGTTGAAATTTCGCATTTTTGTATTCATGTAAGTATCACTCCGTTCAGGTCGGGAAATAGATAGAACTGTAACAGACCACAACCATAAGAGAAAGTACATTTCGTGTGAAAAGGGCGTCATAATTTTTCTGAACTCTCATAAAGGTGAACTATTTTTATTCATTCAGAAGGAGAGATATTATTTTTTTTACAGAAAAGAAATAAATGATTTCGAACCGCTCACCCCTTACTTGTAATAAATAATAAGTCCTATTTTATTTCCAAAATATTTTTACCTTTAGAATCTGACCATCGTCCGGGTACTCATCTAGGATTTTCTTCAGCTGTTCGATCAGCGGTGGTTGAAAGATTGGATTGTATTCAGGACCATCTTCAGACGAGTCATCACTGTCCTCACTCGACGCCATTTCTGTAAAAAGAATTCAAATATTTTTTAAGGATATTAGTCTTTTATATCACCGCTTTCATTCTTGCCTTGTTCGTTTGAAACCCAAAAGAGACCGCTGGATATAACGAATAAATGACTAATTTCTGAATTTTAAGTTTCCATATATTTAAGTAAAAGAGAGCTTTGCTTCGGGTTTGAAAAAGGCTTCCATTTTGTAGCTTACTTTTATTCTATTTTTTATTTTATTTCATTGAGGAATTCTTTAAGTTTTAGTTAAGACTGATCATAGAGGAAAGCTTTCTGATTTATCATAAGCATATGTATCATATTGGTTATATTGTAATCAGATCAGAAAGTTTGACCAGGAATAGCAAATTCTGCACTTTGATATTTCTATTTTGTGTCATACTTTAACAAATCCAACAACTTTATTTTTGGAATGAAATGAAAAGAAAAAAGTAAAACCTTAACTCTACAACTAGAACTATAGAACAACAAAGTAACCATAATACATAAAAAGGATAACAGGAATAAAAAAAAAATACTGGACAAACCAAACAGACCATACCAACCATTCATGTATATAGAACAAGTGAGAACAAGAACATATTTTATTACCAAAATCAGGACTACATATTTTCCAAGATTTCCCTTGGCAGTTGAAATAGCAGAATGTACGCAATTGTCTCAAAAATGATATAAAGAATGGGCTTTCTAACCAATAGAGCCTTAAAACAGAAGTAGAACTCCTTTTACACCTTTATTCTAAACAAAACTACTTGCTAAACACAGTTAGTCTTGTAGTAGTCTTATTTATCATCGTCAATTAAAATATCATTGGCTTAGGTGTCAAAATTATTTGGACTAATCTGGAGAATTATTCTTAAAAGAAAACACTGCTGAAAAACAAACATTTGCCATTCAGTTAATGTCATTTGCAAGAAATTATCAAAACAATAATCATTAATGGTGGGAAAAAATCTATTCCGAATTTTATGGTTACCATTCTCTACATGCTTTGGAATTTTCTGGTTTTGATTCTGTACATGCATAGAAACTTTCTGGTTTTGATTCTGTACATGAATTGGAATTTTCTGGTTCCGATTTTGTACATGAATTGGATTTTTTTTTGGTTTCAATTCTGTACAGGTATTGGAATTTTTTGATTTCCATTCTGTACAAGCATTGGAATTTTCTGCTAACGATTCTTCTGTACATGCATTGAAATTTTCTGATTACGATTCTGTACATGCATTGGAATTCTCTAGTTGCGATTCTTTACATGCTTTGTAATTTTCTGGTTTCTATTTTGTAAGTGCTTTGCCAGCAGTATTGTTAAGAGAATATGTCACCCAGAGATCAGTTCCCTCTGTCCAGACATTTGTGGTTAACGTAATTGGGTCGAACTAAAGTGTATCTACAACATTTCCAGCTCGTCACACGCTTTAATAGCTTTGCCATATAGAATTGTTTATATGTACAAAAAGGGGTGTTAAAAGGGGCATGAGCTACGAGATATAAAAAAAAAAATTAAAATATGATTTTTTTTTGCTCAATCATTAATGAAAGTGAAATGTTGGAATAATAATTCGCTTTTAGCAGCTAGTTTGGTTCAATTTTATCAAAATAAGCTAAAAAAACATCGCTGATGAATTATTCACTTGCAAGTGAATAATTCGACCTCATTGAATCCGTATTCATGTGACCTTCAATTTAACCCCTTAGCTAGAGATGGGTTACGCATGAATTAGGTGTGTTCAGTTATTAAAAGGAAAAGAATGTCAACATTGAAAATGAAACAAGGGTAAATAAACCATTTGATTGATCGATCCACAAAAACTCATTCTTATACAGGTAAAAACGATGGTTAACATATATTTTCAACCTGTAATATGAAATCAAACAGACCTAGAAAAATCCAATTGCACGAGTTCGCTATCTATCTAATATATCTATATTTATGTTTACATCGGGTTTTATGACCGTCGATAGTCTTCGGAGTTCACCTCGATGGTTAATTAGATGGCGTCTAGACTAAAATACACACGAAATGCTGATACATATTATCGAGCCCATGCATTGTAAATTGTTTATTTTAGACTTTTTATAATTTAGATAACGTCACAGTACCCAAACTGCACCGAGTACCAAATTGCACCTATTCAACAAATTAAAAAAAGCTGCGGAAATCTTACAAGTTTTCTTTGAGGTTAAACAATTTGTATTTTCATGATTTGACATTTATACACGTCTTTCAACATAGGTAAATATGTTTAAATATACACAAAACGTTCACGGTATATATCAACAAATCTACGGAAACGTAGCCATGCGACGGTCACAAAAAGTCATCTTTTAAAAATGAGCAAATAAAATATGTTACAAGCATCCATTTCTAAAAAATGAATAGTAAGCATGGACTAATGTCAAATTGTTCTAAATATTCGAAGAAATAAAACAAAACATCTGTAAGTCGATTTTTAAGGATGTGAATTTAAGCATGGATGCAATTTGGGTACTCCTCATTACAGAATAATGGATCGTTTGGAGGTCGGTTCAAACTCATTTTTCTTGTATGATTCAATATGGATTCAAAATTGAATTGGTGTAACTATATAGTAAATAAGGATACGTCTACAAAATTAACACAGAATGGAAAACTTTGTCTGTATCACAAAAAAACGTAGGTGAAAAAACTGTCAAAATAGGTGCAATTTGGGTACCCTTACGTTATACGTTTTAGTATGTTATAAATCAATATGAGAATTTGAGTCAAATCGGTGAACACGAATTTGATTGCTAATGCTCCTTTAACAAAAGAAGCTATATATAAAAAATCTGTTAGTTTCATGTTTTATTCACAGTCAAAATATTGAATTCAACAAAAAAATCTTAATAATTTTGATCTATATCTTATTTGCAAAGGCACTTGTCTCTGAAATTTGCTTAAATATTTTAACCTAAAAGATCTTACAAGTCTAAGCTATTGTACGATTGCTCATAACATTATTTGACCGTTTGGAAATGATCCTAAACAGTGTACAAAATACTAATATAAACATACCATGCATTATTTTATCCCCTAAAGATATCAGTTAGTCCAAAAAAGCACCACCGACAGTTATTGCGAATGTAGAATAAATGTGCACAGCCCCCATGCACCCAGTCTTTGGTACTGTATTGAAAATTTTCTAAATGAGTCACGTGTCACTGCAACTGAAACTTCCCACAGGTAATTTTCAAGAAACATGTTTCGGAAAAATGAAAGTGAAAGTAGATTAATTTCAACCCTAGATTTCAGCTTATTTTCGTGCAACTTGCCTTCTGTTTTCTTGCCTTCTGTTTTAACATTCCTTTTTTGTCGTGTTTTATAGATAATACAACCGTAAAAATAGATAAAAACTCACCTTTATAATAGGGAAAACTTGCACTTTTACCTTTAAACCCTCTTCAGAAATTGATTAATGGCTTTCCAGTATATATATATATATGGGGTCATATATCCGAATATAGCTAGTCATGAAAACAAAATGGCGTGTTAAAAGGTGTATATATATACTCTTAATCTTATACATGTGCAGTGTGGACCGGTTGACCTTGTGCAATACATGATTAATTCTTTTCAAAATATTACATAAAGATCTTATTAAAAATTTAATTGATTTAAAACCATAACACTAGATTTTTATCATATAACAAACACAAAAATAAACCGCCATTGAACGTAATAATAATTGAATACTCATCAACACGGCCGGTTAACCGAGAGATTGGTCTGTTAATCTACCTGAGTATGCGGCTATATGGGCGGTTATACGTCTGTTAAGAGTAAAACGCACAATTTAATGTTAAACTCTGATTTTTGGCATATTATAAGAACCAAATCAAAAAAAGAAAAGTGTCTGCCAAAATGATATCTATCATAGAACATTTTCCACCTGCAAAAACATTTCATAGTCTGCGCAGTTTTCAGTAAAACCAAAAGGCGTCGCGCAAGTATGTGGTATTTATGCTTATACGCATAGCAATTTTTTGGATAAAAGGCGAAAAAAAACATTTTTAGATATCATTTAAAGGACACAAAATAGAACTTTGGCTCTAAAAAATAAATTGACATTAGTAAATATTTCATAATTGTAATATAACGTGAGTAATACCACATTTTAGTGAATATTAGGAGAATAAAATCTGTTAATGGGTTGGACAATTTAAATTGTGTCAGTTAAGAGTTATTTAGCCACGACAATAGTTTTGCTACCTTTATATTTTCCCATTGAAAAAGTTAAGAATGAGATGTACTTGAGTAGAAAAAATGACAATACGGTGCAACAGTATCCTTCTAGTAAGAGCAATTTTTATTTTGACTTTCTTTGCATTTTATTGAAGGGTGTGTCACTTCAATATAGCGTGATATGGATTGGCCGCTGTAATATGCATGAATTTATTATTAACGTTTTCAATCAGCCTTATTTTTTGTGTCTGTTTAAAGTCTGCAACATCTATGAATCTTTCATGTGTTGCAATGCAGCTGGTTAAATTCCATGCGTTTTCCGAAATGCATTGTCTTTTCTACCTTGTCATCATTGTCATTTTCTGCCTAAGGAAATGTCTGTACCAAGTAAGGAATATGACTGTTGTTTTCTATTCGTTAGTAAGACGTGGTTCTAAACAATAAATTGACATTAGTAAGTTTTTTTTCTATACATGATATATGCGACCATTCTTGGATGAAATTAATATTACTTTAATATTACACTTTTTGAAACCATTTTTATCAATTTTCAATTTCCATTGTCTAAATTTATGTTTCATTGTTCATGTGTTGTTTCCGTATATTTTAGCCACTCGTCTTGAGCCTACCCATTTGATCCGATAACACCCCATATAGCAATCAAATTATACTTTTATTGCCATTCATAACTCTCAAAAGACCAATTAACAGACCGGGTTTTATACATCCGACCCATTAACAGACCAGGTTTTTAATAACAATTGATTTATGTCACCATAATACAGATTTTCGTGTAGATTTTTCACATAATGATATTAATATGGTTAACAAACATAATGCCTGTCTTTTTCCGATGTTCAAAATATTGCATGCAAGTAAATTCAACCAACTTGTCATTTTGTGTGTGTAAAATGTGTATAAATTTATTGATGAGTAACCCGCCTTTTCATTTTATAGATCGTTTATCGAAGCTAGGACAAAAAATAATTACACCGCTGAATTCAGTACACTGAATTGTTTTGGCAGACATGAATAGTTATTATGATAAAAATATATTTAAAAAGTTATACAATGAAACATACTGACCTTGCAATGATTTTCTCGATAACACCTGATTAACAGACTTTAGCCAACACGATTAACAGACCAACCGCCCATATAGCCGCATACTCAGATATATTAACCGACCAATCTCTCGGTTAACCGAGTGACGGCCGTGATAAGATCTATACCAAATCAATAAAAAAAATTGATAACAACATCAGTGTATATAAATTGCGAATCCAGATAATTCATTTTAACTGTCATATGCGAGTATTACTATTGTAGAATAACGCATGATGGGAGAAACTGTGTTTGTTTACGTTTTGAAAATACAAAATAATTGATTTGAATGAATTTTTTAACACAATTTCATTAGAATATGACTTTACAATGTACAATAACATGATTAAAGTCCAAAAATATGTCATTAAAGCAACAGAATCTAGAATAATAAAATTGAGAATGGACATGGGGAATGTGTCAAAGAGACAACAACCCGACCACAGAACAGACAACAGCAGAAGGCCACCAACAGGTCTTCAATGCAGCGAGAAATTCCCGCACCCGGAGGCGTCCTTCAGCTGGCCCCTAAACAAATATATATACTAGTTCAGTGATAATGAACGCCATACTAAACTCCAAATTGTACACAAGAAACTAAAATTAAAAATAATACAAGACTAACAAAGGCTAGAGGCTCCTGACTTGGGACAGGCGCAAAAATGCGGCGGGGTTAAACATGTTTATGAGATCTCAACCCTCCCCCTATACCTCTAGCCAATGTAGAAAAGTAAACGCATAACAATACGCACATTAAAATTCAGTTCAAGAGAAGTCCGAGTCTGATGTCACCAAAGAAAATAAACAAAATGACAATAATACATAAATAACAACAGACTACTAGCAGTTAACTGACATGCCAGCTCCAGACTTCAATTAAACTGATTGAAAGATTATGTCTTCATCATATGAATATCAGGCACAATCCTTCCCGTTAGGGGTTTAGTATCATACCATCATAACATATATGAGAAGAACATAACCCGTGTCATGCCAACAACTGGTTTTTAAATAAATGTGTTTAGTGCCGATGCAAAGACCCTATAAGTGAATCAATATTAACGCCAAAATATGCAATCTTTAATGACCTGACAACAGTATCGTAACTATATCCCTTCTTAATAAGTCTATTTAAAGGTTTTGTTAGTTTCAGAGGTGAATACAGACATTTTTGTCCTTTATAAAGAATATTTCCATAAAAAATTGGATGTGAAATACCTGAACGTATAAGAAGTCTGCATGTTGAGCTATATTTACGAATGATGTCCTTATACCGATGATAAAATTCAAAATCAAAACTTTGAACAGATTCAAAATCACCAATATATGCATGCAATTTATCAAGTACTTCCAACGAGTTCTTGACACTCCAAAAGTAATTAATTCCACTATTTTCGAAGGCCTTATTTGAACAATTTATTATCAGGTTTTTGATTGTACCAAGTGTACTGGTAAGAAGAATAGACAATTTAGTAGTGGAACAATGGCTTGAAGACGAAATGAATCTATATTTGTAAGGTGTTTTGTGTAGCTTCGGAAGCCAATACATAGTTGGGACTTTCATTGTATTTGGTTCTGCTTGTAAAGCGGTAGCTAAAAGTTTATGTTTGTTACAGATGTCGTTTTCTGAAAATGGAGTCAGTTGGAATGTTGGTGAATTGGTGATTTCTTTTTTCAGAACCTCAATGTAAAATTTACGTCAAACAATAATAATATTATTAGCAGCTTTATCGGCCGGGACAAAAACAAATTCCTTGGCTAGTTCTTTTAGTTTATGTTTGATACGAGAAATAGGTTTATTGTGGTTATTGTTAAGAGTAAAATGTTCTTTAAAATGTTGAATACGTATATCAACTATGTTCATTACTGATTTAAAAAAAGAGTCCAAAGATTTTTTGTCAGCTTTTTCCCGTTTTATCCATTTCAAACAGTAAGTATGGAGTGAGTCGTGGATGATATTACGACACTCATTCCAATTAATAATTGACGGGGGACGATATTTAGGTCCTTTACTGAGGAATGATTTTAACTCTCGGTCTTGAACGATGTTAAGATCTCCTGTTATAACATGGGAAATGGGTCCATAAATGTATTCGGAGTTACTGAAAGCGATTCATTTTGACATTTGGTGCGATGCATGATCACTGTAAGTGCGATCATTTCTGATGTGGGATTTTTTTAAGGTGCGATGGATTTTCATTGTGGTTTTATGTGATAATCGGACATACAAATTTAAAACTGACAATATTCATTTAATCTGGTGCGCACTAGTATGAACAACTTTTCATTAATATAAGTTCAGAATGTATAATGGGGCATGATTATAACATTCGTTTCCTTTACCTGTTCTGGTATCTCAAGATATAATTTTGTTGAAATGCACTAGAAATTAACAATTAAGGGGAGATAACTCCGTAATTTGCTATCATTCTAACCATAATTTATCTAGATAGTTCTTGAGTTACCAGACACGCAGAAACTAAAGACCTACGATTTCTAACTCAGGACAAGGGTACCTTCAAAACAAAGTGGTTAGGTCGGTTGGAATTTTTTTGGCCATGTTTTGAAATTCCTCTAAATTGCCTGATTTTTACAAAGACTGGCACTTAAGGGGCTCCGAAATTATGCTTTACTATACTGACTGTATTATCAACTACAAAAACTTTTTTGTTGGCGTCTTTGTTTGATTTAATTGTAAGTGTGTTTAAACGATAAATTCAGTTATATTCTATGTCTGTGATGTATCTTTACACAGTTTTGACTGCTGGATCCCAGATATGGCCACGTTAACCAATTATGCCTGTTTGGTTTGGTCACACAATTTGCAATAACGAATA